TTCCCCACCCCAAACAAGCCCCTCGCAGCTTTGTCCCACAACCCACCTTGGCTGGGCAGTGCCTATTGATGCCCTTTTGATTCAGTGCCTGGCGGGGGTCACCCCACTCACCCCTCCTTTGCTATGGTACTGCTTGTATATTTAGATTAGAAGCTTTTAGAGTAAGAACTTTGTCTAGTGCATGACCAAATGGAGTTTCAATCTTGCTTGGGTGTTACTGTAGTTTGAAAATAAATACAAATGTGCATGAAATAGAACAGTGATGCATTTATCTGAATTAACATGTCTCTTGATTTTTATAAAAGAAGAAAATATGTATATTTTATGGACTTTCAATCTAAAACTCAAGCTTTCCTGCCTCAAAGTGCTGTAGCAGCAGCCTCAACAAATTACTTATATTTCTTTGCAAACCCTCGGTTTAGTTTTTAATTGAATCCAGACAACATCCTCATTCAATACACGTTCTGCTCTTATCACAACAAACCTGCACTAACATAGCACCAGCTGTCATGGGTCCTGATCTGAAGTTCCTGCAGTAGTTTTCGCAGTGGGAAGAAAGGTATGGATAACAGACTTGCTGGTCAAACAGTTGTGGGTCATCAGGAATAAAACATTATGGGGCTAGACCCATAACTCATATAAACTGGCCTAAGCCATTGAAGGTAACAGAACCGCATCAGTTGACACCAGCTGATAATCCAGTTCCCTACTGAGAGATGGACCTTAAGTGGAACACTAAAACAGCCCTGAACCAGGGTTTCCTCATCTTCACAGTTTGGACACCTGTATTACCCCTCTTACAACTGAAGGGCAGGTGAAGAAGACTTCTTTTGTTGTTCCATCACCCCAAGTGTTTCCCAGTCAGCACTATGCTGTCCCAATAGCCATGTCAGGATTTTATTTCTGGAGACCTACCAAATACACAATTTAATGGAAATCCTGTAATTGGCAGTCTCTCATGATCATGAAATAGCTGGTTCCCCATGAAAAAGCGCAGGGAATCCACCATGTTTAAAAAGCCAGCAAAGAGCTTTCTCCTAGAAGGGCTAGGGAATAGCGAAAGAAGCAACGAGAAAATAAAGGCAAAGTGCCTGTCTCCTGAAGAGGGTGTGGGGAGGGTGGTGGTGAGCAGAGGGAGAGGCTGGAAAGCTCATGTCTCTGGTCTCCAGAAGAGGAGTGGTGGGGGAGCAGGGAAAAGTACTGCTTTATTTTAGCCAGATAGCTAGCTAGCTTTACACTTTATTTGGGTAGGGAACTGTTTAAATCGCCACTATTAAACTGTTTGTTTACTCAGTAATTATTACCCTCCCCCCCCTTGAGGAGGGTGATAATTAATGAAGTAACAAGCCAGGCAGCTCTAGTTAGGGCTACAGCTTTCAGTCAATGCCTGGGAGAAGTGGGACTTGCAGTGCCCCTCAGCCAATCAGAGGCCCTGCTTTGCTCCCTCTTCAAAATGGCAGCCCCGGCCATCATACAGCCATGAAATCGGGGGCCCTGGCCACGTTACAGCAGTGTAATTGGTCGCCAGGGCCCATGAGTTTGGTAGGTCCCTACTTATTTCTAGTAGCCAAGTTTAACTATTTCCAGCTGAAGTACAGCTTGTTAGCAAAACAAGGTTGCCATGTTCTTTGGCTAGGATCAGTAAAGTACTTTTTTTTTTTCTACATGGGAAAACAAACAAACACCTTCTTAGTCTTGCATCCATTTGCTGAAGCACGTGCACCCCTGGAACCCAAGGTCCATACGAGTCAAAAGGAAGGGATGGTGCATCAAAGCCTTTTGTTGAGGTACATGGAATATATTGCTGCTGACAAAAAGCTCCAGAAAAAAATTACACCTGGACATAAAATTACTCCACATGGGCTGCCTATACACATGCTCTGGCATGGGAGAAGGCTGTTTTAATTAGAGTGGTTCCTGGACAGCCACTCTAATTAAATTAAAGCAGCTCATTGTCACACGCATTAAGCTCCATGCACATTTCAAAATGGCTGTGGCATGCTTTATCTAAAGCGAGGGTTACCATATGTCTAGGTTTTCCAGAACATGTCCTTTTTGTGTCCTCCAACCTCCGTCCTGCCGGGTTTTTTTTTTAAATCTGAAAAAGTGTCCAGAATATTGCTTTGCTCCACTGGTGGGAGCAGGGGGAGGGCAACTGGAGGCAGGGGGCACCACATGTGTCTGCACATGCACATACACGTGTCCAGCATGCAGCTTGGCACAGTGGTGGGAGCAGCCTTAGCAGCTGGATGTAGGGATTGCAGGGCCAGAGCTTGGAGACTGTCGGGGAGAGAAGAGTTGGTGGGCCAGGGTGTGTGAGGAGGGCAGGTGCCTGCCAGTGCTGAGGGATGCTGTCCAGGTGTTAGGGCTGTGAAAGGGCACAGGGCCAGGGGGGAAGTGCCTGCCCCTCTAGTGGGGGAACACGGCAAGGGGAAGGGGAAGGGGCGGGCCCTTCAGGGGCAGTAGGGAACTGCATGGCTGGGCTAGTGGCATCAGTGGCTGGTGCTCATGGTCACAGGGGCAGGCACCTGGGAGATGCTGCCTAGGGGGGTTGTGGCCAGGCTGTCTGGCACAGTGCAGGAGCCCCATTGCAGAACAGGGTTTCCACAGGCCACCACTCCTCGTCCCTCCAGCCCATGCTGAGGCCAGACTCACTCCGCCACCACTCACACAAGTCAGAGTCGCCACAGCCACTGCGTTTCAGCCCAGGCAGGATGGGGCAGCTGGCAGCCCCCTCTGGTAGGGCTGGGGGGAGCAGGGGGGGCTTCAGCTTGGAAGTGAAGGACATTTGGGGGGTGGGGCCCAACAGGTGTCCTCTTTTTTGGAACTGGAAATATGGTAACCCTAAAGCTCATTCAGCAAGGTTTAGATAAAGTGACTCCGCAGCCATTTTGAAACACATGGGGCTTAATACACATGCGGGTAATGTGACGCTAGAGTGTTCTAATTAGAATGCGGAACAGACTCGATGAACCGAATCTGCTCCGACACGTTCTCATTTGAATGCGAATGAGTACATCTGTAGGCATCCACAGTGTCCAACTGACTTTGCAGGGGAGGAATTGTATGCCCAGGTACTATCCTATGCAAACCCAAAGACAATATGTGGGTCTAAATAAAATTAAAATATGAAATATTAAAATATGGAATGTAACTAGTTTACAGTGGCTGCGTATGAGAAAGAAGCAGAATAGCTCACCTGGAGCAAGTGGCAAAGGCTGTTGCAAATGGCATTATAAGTCCTAAGAGAAAGCTGTAAGGATTTTTGCGTGTGAATACAAAATAAATAAGTGGCAAAATGATTCCTCCATGGATGACGTGACCCAGAATCGAGGCAAAAATGTACTTCCCCAAGCTGGTCACCAGAAGTGTTATATCTTCCATTTCCACAATCTTGCTCCCGACAAGGAACATGATGCCAATAGGCACATACCTGTGTAAAGACAAAGCAGGAAGAAACATGAGAGACCAGCCTCAAAAAGACACACAACATTTCTGTTTAGGGACCAATTCTTCCTGTTCATAAGTATCTCCCAGCAACCCAGCTTTGCCCTGTTGCTGAAATACCACCACCGCAGAACCAATGAATACCCAGGGCCCTGTGCCCTACATGCTCCTGTGAAACTAATAGGGTACCTCTTGGTTGCTGGAAGGGATATTGTCAAGCTGGATAAGCTGTTTTTGGCCTGCAGGTGGAAAAAGACATTCAAGGAGGCCTGTGCCTTGGGGAAAGGCAGCCAGGCCGGGTGTGGACTGGCCAAAGCTGTCAGGGAGACAGCATGCTGATAGGGGAGAGTGTAAAAGGAGACTGCAATGTGGAGATTTATTCCCTCAGGAAGGATGCCAGGCAAATGCCCAATTCTAAGAAGGGGCACGGTCTCTCCAGGGAAGGCTGGAGCTGGGAAGGTACCAGGGAGCAGTGCCACATCTAGAGCTGGGAAGAAGGAGGGGGTGGTGACAGAGGAGGAGGGTGCTGAAGGAAAGCTGCCAACAAGCTGAGACTGATGGCAGCAGCTTGATGAAGTCTGTTGAACAAAGTGAGCGACACGTGCATGCCAGCCCATTCACCACGGGACAGAAAGAGCTGCGTCAGCCACAATGGCAGGGAATTCAGTCAGAGGCTGCTAATGAGTGCTGGGGTGCACATAGAAAGCATTTAGCTCAGCAATCTGTCTACAGACCTCAAGCTTCTTGATTTGCACTCAAGCCAAAAGGCTGGCCCCGCCTCTTCTCTCTGTAGACACCCAAATTCTTCGGAGGCCAGGTATGCCCTGGGGCCTCCTTTGTCAGAAACAAAGGGAGAAGCTCTGCGGGTAGGTCCAAACCTCATCTCCAGCTGCAGCAACTGACCTGAGTTTAGCTCTTGTAGAGTTGACCCTGCCTCCAATACATACAGTGCAGCAAGACAGCACTCACAGGGACCTTCCATTGGGAAGGAAGAAGGAGGATCTCCTTGTGTGCTTAGCAGATACTGAGCAAAGGAACTAAAGGATGTTTTTATCTCCCCGATTGCCTCTGGGCATAACTAAACTTGAGGAGGCTTGGCCAAGCCTCCGACAGCTTGAAAACATATCCAATCCTAAAAGCTCTTCACTTGCCATCATTCTTCATGTGTATCCTACTTCACTCAGTGGCAGCTCCTCTCCTTGTGAGGCCGCTCAGTTTGAGCATGAATTTGAGCCTCACTCCAGACTTGTGCTGGAGGTTGCCTCAGCTCTCCACAAGTCTCCAGTCATTCAGGCTGAAGAATCAAAAGTGGTAAATCAGATGGTGGCCACATCACTCTCGTGTGCCACTAGCTACAGACACTAGTGGGCCTGAGCCACGAGTCTGACGGGCTGTTAGGCTTGGGATGGCCTTTTGGTTGGCTGCCCATAACCCACAGGGCTTGGTTCTTGGATGAGGATGAAGAGACAAGCAGGTTCTTATGGTGTAAGCATGATTTTGCCCTTCCCTAACCACCACTTGGAAAGCCAGAAGGATTTGAGTGGTTCTGAGGACACAAGAGAACACAGTATTAGAGAAGGAAAGAGGAGGAGAGAGAATTACTATATACTGTTGTGCCAGGCACCAAGGCAGTCCAGTAATCCACAAAGCGAAGGATTACACACTGACTGATTAACTTGGAGTGTTAGCTTTGTAATGAGTGGGGTATGAGAAGCCCTACCTATCAGAGTTTGATATCCCAGGAATTACACTCAAAAGTGAAAGCCTTAAGCAGCTTTGAGACTTTTAAATGTAAATCCCTTCTGACAGTAACTAATGTAAAGGTCTGTATGTACAAGGTCACACGTCTTGTCAAATCCTTTCCACGCCTTGAGGAAAAAAAAGCAAGTGTAAAAGCTGAAAGCTTGAGGGAAAAATGCACCTGTGAAGAGGCATATATATAACTTAATGGGGGTGGGGGAAGCCTCAATTGAAAGACTTCTTGGAGCAACTCTGGGAGAAGCTGCTGCTGCTCAGCTGGACCAAGAATAAGACCCAAACTCTGTTTTGTGTTCCCTGTTTGCCCTGCTTGAACCCCCAGTTCTGTCTTCTCCACAGCACTTCTGACACTTAGAATAGGATGCTGTGGGTTAAGCGCTGCTTGATTTAAAGAAGAATATGACATGGCTTAATGCCTCGTGATTCTTCCACAAGCATTCAGTCCTAATCAGCCCCAGTAATGATTGGTAGGTCTGGCACTGGGTCTCCAATGCTGATTCCATTAGCCCTGGCATAAAACATGCTAGTCTACCAACACAGGGATCTCAGAATCTGGTTTTCACTCTGCAAAACTTTTCAGACATGGAAATCTATTACCATTTGTTTGCTTTGTGCTATCCATTCTCTGACAAACAGTGGGCGCATCTACATGAGACGCATACTGCGCAGTAGCCTAATAACACTATGCAGTAGTGTGTTGCTGAAAAACATGCTAATATGCGCCATGTTAAGTTACTGCACAGTAAGCGTCACAAAAAACCCCGTGCGCTGGTGCTACTGCATAGTAACTGTAGTTACTGTGCATTTTGTTAGAATTTCATTAAGCAAGTACTAACTAAATGAACATGTAGACGCGCACAGTGTCATCTTGAAAAATCATACTTAAAACAGTCATCTTCTATTTCCCATGCCAATTATAAACCCTTAGATTTTTTTTTATTTTTAAAACTTCTCTTTATTCTTTCTACTGTTCTTTTACCTTTTGTTTTGCTTTAGCTCAGACAATGAAAATAAAATTGGATTGCTTTCACTTTCCTTCAGAGTCTTTAAAATTGCAGTGTTCAAAATTGCAACTCCTACATGGTAATAATTATTGTATAGCAATTGTAAAAAAAAAAAAAAATTTCAACTAGATCCTTAGAACCTCTTAGAGTTGAGCTGATCCTTTGTAAAATGTCAGGTCAAATCTGTGTTGGCCATGTCCCATTAATCTTGTATTGTAACCACAAAAACATTTAAAAAAAAAAAACAAAAAAAAAATATTTCAACTAGATCCTTAGAACCTCTTAGAGTTGAGCTGATCCTTTGTAAAATGTCAGGTCAAATCTGTGTTGGCCATGTCCCATTAATCTTGTATTGTAACCACAAAAACATTTAAAAAAAAAATCACCAGTATTTGGAGTATTATGTCTCCCTCATGCCATAGCAAGGACCTTAGATTCTAAGGGCAAGTGCTGCAGTGAAATGGATGTGCTACTGCTCTGTATGTTCTCTTAGCAGAAGTGGCTGGAGGTTGGGGAAATGAATAAAAATAAGGCCCCACTGGTTAAGCCTATAGCAAGAGGCAAAGCAAACCAGTGAGTCTCAAACGCTTTTGGGTGGTGTTCCCCTCATTAATTGGTTAAACTCTGTTGTATACCCCTACAATCCTGTGTTATGGATGATAAAAAGGTAACACTTTATATCATTAAGCCACACTATCTAAACTGGAAAGCTGTTCTTTGCTTTTAATTTTTTTCCCCTTTTCCTCCATTTATATTTTCTCTTTCTTCTTCTGCTCTCACATCCCTTCCTTTCACATACCCTGTAGAAGTTCAGTGTATACCCTCAGGGGAAATTGTACCCCAGATTGTGAAACTCTAAAGAAAGCCATTATCAGAGGTTCAGACTCAGAAAACACAAATACCCAGCAGGAAAGGGAGAAGGACTATGGAAGGGGGTTCTAGGAAAATCACGTACCTCAATAAGCAGCTGATCTCCATTTTGAAAATACCGGCTCCCACAATCCTTTCCCACTCAGGAAAAAGATCTTCTCTACATGAATTGAGATCCAAGGCGAAACAGGTCTAAAGTAAAACCCTGGCTTCCACTAAAGTTAATGGCAAAGCTCCCACTCACTTCACCAGAGCTGTGATCTCACCCACTGCCACTCAAAAAGGAATTGCTACCATCTCCTGCTATACAAAGGGACTGAAGTTTTCAGCCCTACTTCTGTCCCAACTAATGCCATGTGTTCTGTAACAGCACACTGCTCCAGCTGGCCAGGACATTCTCTAGAACTCAAGTTATAATGGGTTATATTTAAACACGGTCTGTTTTTCATGAGCCCTATTGCCTTTCTTAGGGCCTAATTTTTAAATAAGCAGAAGAAAATGAGATGAATGGAGAAGTGCCATCACAACTGTGCAGCTAATCTGCATGTGCTGATATTTTTTTGCAAAGTCTTAGTTGCTCTAATAAAAGGTATCATCTCTGAACCACGAGTTTTAGAATTTTGCATTTCAATATTGCAACTGTGCACACAAATCAGGTTTTAACACCAGTCTCCTAATTTGGTTAAGCAGTCATAGTATTCCACGTTAAAAAAAAAAATGAATCAAATCAGGCATGCAATTGTGTACAACCAAGGGCTTCTGATGCTTTGAGAAATCAAGACTTATTTTCTCTAAGTAACCAAAATCGAGCTGTGTCAGTGATTTTTGAGAGGATATTCAGATATTTTCAAGCAGCTGTTACCCTGCATTGGAGTGACCTTCTGGTTACTGCCCATGTGCACAGAAGATTCATCACATGAGCATCATAGAACTCCTTATTTGTGATGGTAATGTTGTATCTAAAACACAGCTAGACGGGGGGAAAATGGACATTCCTAAACCAAGTCACATTGTAGCAGTAATGTATTCACAACTACACTTACCACATAATCCAGGACACCAAAACCATAGTTGCCTCATTCAATGAGTTAAAAAAGCGAATCAAATCTTCCCCTTCACGGCCGAGCTTTTTCAAAGCCACTCCTAGAACCAGAGCGAAAAGTACCAATCCCAGAATGTTCATCCCTTCAATCTCTTTGCCAATAGGAACCTGGGGTGAAAAAATTAAACAGTGTTTCTCAGATGTCATATTGGGGTGTGGAGCAAATAACGTCAACCATGTATTTTATTTTGTCATTTGATGAGTCAAAAATCAGTTTGTATCATGTCTCCTTAGGAAAGAACACAAACCTCATGGCTACTCAAGTACTCTCGAAGAGCAAGTATGAGCCATAGCTACTTACTCAGCTCTACTGCTGCTACTAAATAACATTAGAGTTTGAAGGAGGCACTAAAAGTTATTCATATCTATTCTGCTTCTTTCGATAAATCACTAATGTAAGACCATTTGTTTTCTATGGGTACTTTTTTGTAGATTGTTCCTCACCTTTTCGAGAAATATTTCTATCAGGAAGAAAACACAAGAAAAGCCATTTGGTGTTTAGGGAGGGAAAAGTAGAAAACAGCGAAAAGGTGCTTAATGTGTCTTTCACCATGAACAGAGGCAGGCTGAAGCACAGCAAATGAAACACATGCTCCACTTTCCCAGAAATAATGCAGCTAATTGGTGTGAGTTAGAGGATAAAACACTAACCTCAATTTTCATCTAAGAGTTCACAATGTGCTGACAAGCCCACCCTGCTGATCCTTTGCAGCTCCTTCTCCCAGAAAAGCTGAGGACTCATTTAATGAATTAACAAAATTGGTTCCGACTGACTGCACTTGTGACGTAATAAAAATAGAATCATTTTGACAAACCCTGTTTTCCCTTTGGCAGTACATGCTTAAATGTCCCAAATTTTTATTTTACTTGGATGAGCTTATGCAACAGATTAGATAGATGATTTAGAGAAGCTTCAGGCCTTGGGAATGTTGAAGTAGACGCTGGCTCAACACAAGAAAGATAAATATATTCTCAGATAAAAGTTTAAAATGTACAACAAACACTGAACAAAAGTTCAGAACACCAATTTACTTCAATAAAACAGTTATTACGTTATTGTCCTAGAGAAAAGTGTAGGGCTGAACTGATAGTTTCCAATTGCCTCTTTACAACTGGAAACAGAAATAAAGTGTTATCCACAATTCGTTAAAACATCAATTACATACAAGAAAATATACACAGGAAGCATAAACTGTTAAGAGTTCATGAATACACCAATTGAGCACCTGGGCATTTCAAACTGAAAAATTAGTAGATTTCATATCTCATCTTTCACAATCAGTGCCCACTCTATTCTAACTTATTCCTGAGTATCGGACTTAAAACTTAAAGCATGGGGAATTTACCTGGGACAAAAATGTTGGGACATAGTATCTTTCAAAATTAAATAAACTATGAAAAGACTATATTATCCCCAAACACAACAACATATGGTGCTTTTCTGCATGTCCAAGGTTTAGTATCATCAATATTTTGCCCCCTTTAGTTCTGTAAGTTTCAAACACCGTAAAGACCTAAAAGTTTCTCATGTTGAAAAGGTAACTAGACAATTGGACTTTCTTATTCATGTGTTATCTGTCTGTGTATGAGACATCAGCAGGGGCAGATCCAGAGGGGGTGCAGTGGTATGATTGCACTGTCCTTTTAAACCACACTGTGGGAGCAGCAGCAACTCCAAGTCCCAGAAGCAAGTAAGAATCCCCCCCATCCCTTCCCCTCTATGCTCAGCAGCATGTTCCCTCCCCTCCCATTTGCCTCCTCCCCTACTGACTGCTGCTGCTGTCTCCAGATGGCTTTGGGATAAGAAAAGCTTCAGATCCACTCCAACCAGGCTGCACAGAGAGTCAGGCTCAGCCTAGAACTGGGGCACGGTGGCAGCAGGTGAGTTCCTTCTCCTTTTCCAGTCCTCCCTGTTATTCTCTGCCAGCCTGGGAGCAGGCTCAGGGAAAGGGAACCTGCCTGCTACCACTGCTGCTGTCTCTGGCCAAGCTTGTACAACCCAGCTGGAGGAGGCCAGGAGCAGCTCTGGAGCTCCCCCCACTCCAGGGCAGCTGGGGACAGAAGTGGTGGGCAGGGGAGGAGGAAAACAGGAGGGAAGGAAAAGGCAAAGGAGTGCTGAGAGAGCAGTTGGGAAGATTCCTACCTGATTCAGGGACAAAGTCCCCAGCTGCCGCTCCCGTGGCATAGTTTTTCTGTCAAGGATGGGAAGTGAAGGTGGGAGCAGGGGTGAAGCACCCCCTGCAGCACTGGTCACTGCTCTCATATGCCCCTTTACAAAAATTCCAGATCCACACATGGACATTAAGGGGCTGTATGCTTTTTTATTTTTAATTTTTGTTGGTAATGCAGATCCAAAATTGCTCTGAGAGATTCTAGTCTGCCTTGCAGTACCAGCAGCTGAATTATTAAGAACTTTCCAATTATTTCCTGGAGAACCCATATTTTCTAGTGTTGATGCACAAATCAAAAAGAATCCAACTTGATTCATAAATCCTGGATTGAGTTGATCTGCAAGCAGTAAAAACAGGGATTGTCAACACCATTGGTCAAAAATCTTCTACTGGAATTTGTTTGCATAAGAAAATGCCATTTTTTTCAAAATCAAAATCAGTTCTAATGGTCAAGTATTCTTGTAAACCAAGTATATTTAACCTGGGCATTATGAGAAGACAAACAAAATTCCATGGTGCTACCATATTTTTCAGTCATTTTCCAAAACTTTACACCCATTCTGTTAGAGATTTCTTTATCATGTTGAATGTTTAAATCAAGTGATTTTTAGCAGGAGTCTAATGGGCCCCTCCTTTCCTGGCCAGTTCAAATTTGGACTCTCACAATTCCTACTAGAACCAGTCCTTCCAGTCAGCTCACTAAAATGCCTGTTGTACTCTAACAGCAGTGCATTGCTTCTAAGGAACTGCCAAACAGAGAGCAGCATTATAGGCATGAAACAAAACAAGAAAGGCTTTCATGAGAGCTTTGTTCCATGCTAAACTACAAGGCTTCTATCACGCTGTCTTAATTTATGCATTTAGTTGAAACATTATTGACCTCCTCTGTTTCTCACATCTCTCTGAAGAGCCTGGTATAGTTTAGCACACTGAACACAATTTATCTCACTGAAAGGGTCTACAGACATTCAGGCCAGTTATGTATTTGCATAAAATTAAACATTAAGGAAAGTGGCAGGTGCACAATGTGATGTAGACAAGAAGTATTCAGTTAAAAGTATTATTGGTATCATTTATACTTAGAACAGTGGTCCTCAATCTTTGTAGACTCAGGGTACTCCTCATCAGACTCAAGGCATCCTTTGGAAAATTCCAGCTCTTAGCTATCACTCATTTCTTGACTACAGAAAAGTAAGAGAGCAACTGTTCTGTTGCAAAGACCTCAGAAAAACTACAACAGGTGTTTCTGACACTCTGGATTCCTATTTTGAAATCTCTGGGTTTATCTTGTGAACCACATGTAGGTATCTGCAAATCTACCACTTGGCCATGGTACCCTGGTTGAGAATCAATATTATAGGAGCATCTACGGATATCCGTCATGGGCCCCATTATGTTAAGCAGTACTGCGAATGGAACAAGAAGCCAGTGCCAGTCCTAGAGAGCAGGCGATCAGACAGGACTCAAGAGTAAAACAACAAAAAATGGGCTGGACATAAGAGCAGATGACAACAAAACAAACACAGCTTTGGAGAAACACAGATGTCTCAGCTCCCCGCAAGCATAATCAAGAAATAATAGAGCCTGATCTGGTGCCCAACCCAATGAGGAGCTTTCCATTGAGTTCAGTGGACTTTGGAAAAGCCAAGAATGCAATTAATATCAGAGCATAAATGAGCAAAAGAAAAAACACTGCTCTGTTTTAAATCAAACATTTCATATTTTGATGACAAAGATTACTGTTTGCCGGTATGCAATGCATCACCTTCATACTTTGTCCCCATGGAATCCATGTTGGTATCACCTTGATACCACTCCTAAAATGTTACCTGAAAACCACTTTATCTTTGTGCAACCTTAAAATTATTATAGTTACCATCCACACACAACACAAAGAAACCAAACTGAAATTCAGTTTTGCAAACTAACAGGCTACCATGTCTTGTTTAGTTAGATCACTCATATCTAGAGAACTTGGAGTGTCCACTAGATTTAAAAACTATCAATCCTGCTATAGTTCAAACAATTGGAAAAAAACCCATAAGCAATGGGTGGAAGGGAAATCTTCAGAAGTAGTCATTGGCAATAACAACTAGATTTAAGTGTCAGACCAGGAATAATTCACAGTGTCCTAGAGTTACACACTGTTCAATCAAATAAGAGCTGTGGAAGGTATAAAAAGAAAACAAAGAAAATAGAAAAGAATTCCATACTTTCAGTTGCCAAAAGATACATTCAAATTTGCTAAGAAAGAATCAAAGCTCTGACAGTACACTGCAAAATGTCCTTTATGGCCATCACTGAATGTAACAGGCATGGGTAAGCCATGCCTATGCAGCTCAGTAGTGTTTTGACCTACAGTGGAACTTAACTTGACAGTGAAAATTACCACTAATATCTTGCTTTGCTCCTCATTTGTATAGCTTAAGTTAGGAGTCATTCCATTGTTCATGTGAATAAAGGTACATGAATAAGTGTAAGGAGAAAGGGATGAATGAAGTCTTTAGTGGCATGACAGTTTAGGGCTGAACTTCCTGCAGAGATAACATGTTAGAAGAGAAAGCAATCCTTTGAAATCACATTATCTTTGACCACTCACTGCCCACCTGCAGTGTGTCAAGTAAGGTGCTTCAGAGCTGAATTAATGCCATCCTATAGGAACAGTGAAAGTGTAACACATTAGCCAAAATCAGTGGCGATGCATAGGGGGTGCACAGAGGTGCATGTGCACCCCCCGAGAGCGCTGGTGCACCCCCTGACCAGCCACGCTCACCGCTTAGACGACGGGCAGGGGGGCAGGCGAGAGCACCAGTGCCCCCCCTGCAAGCACCAGTCGGGGAGTGGAGCGCCATTGCGCTCCTAGAAGCAGCTGCAGCCACTCCCAGAAGTGGTTGCAGCAATTGGCTGTCCCATGATCGGCCACAGGGGACACCCCCC